ATTATTTCTTTTATTGAGGCTTTTCCAAATTACCTAATACAAACAAAATATCGTCTTGTTACATATCCTTTCCACAATTAAAATACAAAAATAAATAGGTATATGAAGACTAAAATTAGTTTAAACAGTACAAAATTTTGTAGAATAAGCAATTTTTGATATATAAGATTAATAAAAATGATTTAAAAAATTTAACTTTTATAATAAGGAATTGGCTAGGGGTGTGTGTGTTGGGGGGTGATGATGAGTATAATAGGCCTCTATTTACAATTGTCCATTTCCTGTAACTAAATTAAGCAAATAATTGTAAATTATCTTCTAGTTCTTCTCTTGCATGAACACATCCTTACCAAGATCTACCATAGTTTTAACCAGCTTTAAACCCAAGATAAACTGACTGAGATCACTCCATTGGAAAACAAAGCAGAATCCACTTCTCATCGCCAACTGCACTGTATTTGTATCCATAGATACAAGACAACAGAGAATCATAGAATTCTAAAGTGGGAAATCCCGGGACCTCAGAGATCATCTAGTTTCTGGCCCCAACTCTGCTGTCAGGGGATCCGTTAGGGGGTGAAGAACAGGGTAGAGGTCAAGGGAAAGAATCACTGGTCCTTGTTCCATCCCAAATGACCTAATGGGGCTAACCTAGCCCAACATCCTCATTTTATAAGCGACAACCCAGTGCCTGGCTAATTAAAGGCAGAGCTGGGATCAGAAGTCAGGTTTCCTGATTCCCAGTGTACACTCCTGGATGCCATCATTCCATGGCTCTGACAGTCACAGACAACAATGCATTAGGCTGTGTTAAACTGACGACTAAGCATGTTTTCTCCTTGCAAACCCATCAGGTATTATGCCAGCACTTTATGAAAACAGTAAGGCATCATTGGTTGGTATAAACAAAAGCAACTTTCTATGCCTTTTTTTTTTTTTTTTTTGTAACCTAAAAATCCCAAACCACTGTTGCTATTAAAAATTTTTCTTTACCCAAGTATGCACCTCTGGGCCAAGCACAGATGCATTAAAAATTTGCCAAGAGAAACAATGAAGTCACTGATAATACAAAGCATGAGCATATCATGAAATTCATGTCTTTGTTTTCTTCCTCTCGATACTTAATTACTTCTCATTACTGATCATTTTGTGGTTGTTGGCAGAAGGGCAAGGAAACTCCACCACTGTAAACATGTGGAGACACACACTCTTCAGCAGACCAGAAGTCTGCACACGACTGGCCTGTTCACAAATCCAATGTGAACGCTGCTTCATTAATCAGCAAGAATGTTGATGCTACTCTACCTCCAGCCCCCAAAGAGAATTGGTAGTCTCACTTTAAAAAGAATAACAAACACAGTATAAAAATGTTTTAAGTCACTCCTTTTGTACACTTATAAATATCATCAAATGGCAAATGACCTATGCTCTCCTCTCAGATTTTACCTAACCCAATTTAACAATGAGGTGAGGAAAGTTGGGTGTGAGCTTCAATCAGTCTTCTGCTGTAGCTCAGGGCTGCCCTAAGCTAACAGGGCACTACTTATGAGCAATGCTTAGCAAACTACCCTGGTAAATAGAAACTTTATCTTGGTATTCTGGAAGGCATACCTTAGATAAAGTTGATGAGGGCAGAGGAATCCTTATTGATTAGCAGCAGAATACAAGTTGTTTCTTATCAGTAAGCTATTGCTCCACATAAGAATATGTGGGTAAGAGGAAAGCATAGGAATGCATCATAGATACCATTAAAAAACCAAAACATATTATATACATCTAGGATACTAAAAAAAGTTAAGCAATGAATATATTTTACCCCTTTTTAACTAGATTTTTATTAGCTTTTCGTAGAAATGTGACTCTGTGGTGTGGTGGACTTTTTCAAAGACGGCTTCCCATTCCTTTGTAATGTGACTTTGCAACATCTCAAGGTGGAATCTATTTCTCCAGTCTAGAATCTGCGTTAGCCTTGTGATGTTCTTGTACGAATAAAATGAGACTCCGAGTTTCAAATCTCACACTCTTGGAATGTTGTCCTGAGACTACCATGTGGGGAAGCCCAGTCTAACCTACTGGAGAAGAGGCATCCACATAGAGCAGACCAGATCACTCAGTTGAGGCTCTCTCCCAGCCCAACTAGCCAACAGCCAAATATGTGAAAGAGTCTATCTTAGAACATCCAACCTTAGCATGGTTATAAGAAGACTGATGCTGTGTAGTAATCCACAGAACTCTGAACCATTGGTGTTTAGCCTCCATCTAAGTTTTAGGGTGGTTTGTTAAACAGTAATACATACCCAAGACAGTCCACACACCAGGTAAAAGGAAGAAATCAGTCACCCTATTGAGCACCCACTATATATAGAAGACCAGCTCAGATACATCATGCAAAACATGAATGGAGATTAAAAATATTAGAAGACATGGATGGCCCTGTCACTTATGTGTGAAAATAAATGAAGCAGCATATAAATAACACCTATTTTAAATATACCTAATTTATGTAATAACTTTCTATTATTTACATAGCCCAGAGCAAGGGTATTCCTGGGTATTTAAGAAAATACAATGGGGCAGGGGGAAGATAATTAGAAATCCTATTTATCATCTTTTTCTTTTTCTTTTTCAATGTTTTCATAAGGCACATAATATATTAATGTGGTCTATAAGAACTTTTTTTTATAAATAAATAAATATAAAAATAATGGGCTATTTCCCAATTTTATCTCCCACACATCTCCAACCTCCCATCCCTACACAAAAACGTACCTTCTATGTCTTTGCTTTTCTCAGATAAATGTACTTTCCTGGCTACATAGGGAAGAGCCAGTGAGAACTACTATCACAGATCATTATTTATCTGTACTGTATTTATTTATAAATAGCCTTCAGCAAAGCTATGAGTATTTTTCAGATGCAGTGTCTTTACCAGTATATGGATTTGTCTTAAGCAGTATGGCACAATGGCATTATGGTATGGTTTTTAAGAATATGGGTTCTGGAGCCAGGTTACCTAGATGGACTCAAATCCCAGTTTTGCCACTTACTAGCTGTGCAACCTTCAGTAACTTACCTGCGCTTCCATTTCTTCTGTAAAGTGGAGATAATAAGATTCCCTACCTCACAGGGTTATTGTGAGACTTGAATGAGTTAATAGATATAAAATACTTACAAGAATGCTTGGTATGATGTAAGTACTCAGTAATTATTAGCTGTCATCATGGTTACTACTACTACCACCTTTCTTCCCAATATCTAATGAAGTAAATAAATGTGTGATGGACAGAAGTGAGAAAGAAATACATTATGTGACTTGTTAGTATTTTGAAAGTAAATGTTTTAAATTTTTCCAGAAGGATACTGTATCTTTAAGGCAAGGTATCTCAGTAGTGTAAGTTGACAGTTAGTTTGTTACTGACAAATAAAACATAAAAATAATAAACATCTAAGACAGTAAATATCTTCAAGTTCTGCTGTTATAGCCTGATAAAGGTGAGGCTATAAAAAAATTCTCAGCTGAAAGTTAATACTGGGGTTATCAGAAAAAAGCTAATATGTCTGTTTGGTGGTTCAACACTAGTATTATCTACTACAGCTTCATGAAACCTGGTCAATCGATTAATGTGGACATCTACTGCAACCAATTGAATGAAATAATGAGGATGCTTGTGATTAAGTGGCCAAAATTGGTCAACAGAGACAGGCCAATCCTCTTGCAAGACAATGCTCAACCACGTCATACAAACAATGCTACTCAAATGACAGCAGCTGGACTTGGAAACTTTCTGTCATCTCCCATATGTACCAGACCTTGCACCCATTGACTATCACTTCTTTCAGGCTTTAGACCACTTCTTACAAGGAAAATACTCAATTCTCAACAAGCTGTGCAAAATGCCTTTTGAGATTTCATCACTGCTGACTCTCCAGGCTGCTGGCATAAACAAGCTACCGTTAAGATGGCAAAGCTGTGTTGACAATTTAGGTGCATACTTTAATTGTACCGCTACACTTTTGATTTGAAATCAGACATTTCATATTTAATGACCCAATATAAACTAAAAGGCACCAGTGATGATAAAAGTTTATGATTTGTAGTGACAGAGAGTAAAATTAATAATATGCTTGTATGTTATTAGAGTCAACTATAAGCTCAACTGATATTTTCTCTGTTAGTTAGAAACCACAAAAGCCAAACAATTTTTCTTCTTATTATAAATTAATTTGGATAATTATACAATAAGATATGGAGTTAATGTGTGCCTAAAATATTAGTTTATTGTATATTGTTTCCATAATGGCCAACTACTTTAGGCAATAGTGTCTCTGCTTTGAAGATGAGGGTCCTAAATATAATTCCTTAATTCATCCAAGGATAGATCTAGAGTTTTTGTAGAATGTCAGGAATACAGCCAGGACCAAGCCTTCATTCCTTTAATACTAGACTTTGCCTTCAAAACAAAATAACCCAAAGTACTTTGAAACAGTAATTCTGACACTTCTAGCCTAATGCACCAAAGGCTAAAATATTAAAATAAAACAAAACAACCATAAAAAAAATCCCAACAACTTTCAAAAGAAATACTATAATGTGAATGTGAAGAAAGAAAGAACAATTAGCAAATCTGCCATTTTATAATTACTTTAAGTGAGTCTTAATTTAAGTAAGCACTTAGGTCTTGGCTGGAGGTATGACCTGGGTCCCTGAGGTGGAATGCTTGGTGGATGAAGTTCAAACACAGTCTGTTTACCCGTGGACATAAGTGGCCTTAATCAAAGCAGAACACATTTTTTAAAATGTTGACTTTAAAAGCAGAAATGTAAATAAGACTGTGATTTATGAATCTACTAATACCCTTCTCTGCTGTAGACATCAAAAAAGATCGAGTTTTGGACTGTGGTAAATACAACAAGAATGTAGACTTGTTAAAGCAGTAATAGGTACTCTTATTAAAACTCCACTTCCATTAAAAGTTACAAATTGTCTTCCCTTCTTCCAGGCCTTAAAGAATGCGTTCCAGAAGTAGTGAAACCGAGGGCTCAGCCCAAAAGCAATTTCTAAGACATATGAAAGACTACAGTTTCCAAGAGTCTGAGGACATGAAGCACAGACAGCAAGACAAATACCCTACCAGCAAGTCAGATGAAATCCTTCCATGTCCCAAGTCAGAGAAGCTACACGGTGGTAACGGCCACCAAGCAGAAGACCTCTCAAGAGATGACCTGTTATTTCTTCTCAGCATTCTGGAGGGAGAACTGCAGGTCAGTTGGGTTGGGGTTATTCCCATTATGCTTCAAGGGGAAGGCTGTTTGTGAATTTGGTGTGCCTGTTGCCACAGAAATAAGCATCTGTGGTTCATACTTGTGTGTACATGAAAGCAAAGCATCAGTATACGTACACAGAATTCCCTTCTCCCAACTCAAAGCTCAATTAATCACATCTGAAAGGGCTGCCATTATGACATACGACTAGCATGCATGTTGTGAAAGGTCACTTCCTCTGCCATGCTGCTCAGGAGCTTCAGTGCATAGGCACATGTCTGTAATATCAATGCCAGACGACTTCTGGATTGGTTTAAACAACAGTAGGTGCTTTTGTACCTCATGTGGACTGGCTCCTAGACTTGTTCTGATATTATTAACCTATATAAAAATCTAAAAACAGCTGCTACACATGTAGAAGAATCTTATTTCCTACCCCCTGAAAACCAAAATGCCAGTACATTGAGGGGTATCATGTTATTGGCTTGTCAAATACAATAAAAAATGTATTCCCCCAAGTTGTATAGCAATCACTTTTTAAAACACTATTAATGTGTAATTAGATTGTAAGAAGGGTGAAGGAACATAGCTTTAATACCTTTTCCAGAGGTGCTATAACCAAATATGATTAATTTATATTTGAAAGAGAAGAGAAAACACTGTCAACTATCACAAAAATCACATGCTGAGACTGCTGGTAGATAAAGCAGGCTTACTAAGATACCTTTTGTTCCTACAGGCTCGAGATGAAGTCATAGGTATTTTAAAGGCTGAAAAAATGGACTTGGCTTTGCTGGAAGCTCAGTATGGGTTTGTCACTCCAAAAAAGGTGTTAGAAGCTCTTCAGAGAGATGCTTTTCAAGTGAAATCTGCCCCTTGGCAGGAGGACATCTATGAGAAACCAATGAATGAGGTATGTACCACATCAGGCGTGTGCACCTGGGAGGCTGAAGAAGCTCACCAGCCAGCCAAGCACTACGCCTGGCAAATGAGCATGAGCTGTAACTCCTTTTTGATTCTTTACTTTCCACTGCATTTAAGACTTACCCAAAGTAGATAAATACTACAAGTTCTATAGGAAAGAAAAAGAGAATTAATCATAGATAGGGTACTTCCACTAGGTTTATTTCTTGACATCAGACTGAAATCAACCAAATGCAAGAGAATCCCCCCTTCACACACAAAAGGGTCTTTACTTTTGGGGACTTGAAGACTAGCCAAGCTATAATAAAAAACAGATAAAGTTTACCATAGAGGTTAACTTCTTTGAAAATGCTGAGGTATTATGTCATAGAAATTTTGAGGATGAATGAAAGTGATCTGAAGAACTGTTTAAAAAATAGAGTTTTAAGAAGCATATATTTTAGATGAGTGCATACCCTCTTTTTCCTTCACAAGTTTAATGACAGCAAAGACCTTCCCCCACTCAGTGTGCCCGGCAATTACAATGGCAGAGGTGAGCAGTCCCAACATGGTCACCACTGCACAAAGATGCGGTACGACTTGCTGTTTTATTTGCTGACATTTCTGAAACTCTTTGGCATCCTTATTTTATTCTTCTATTTTCCTCTGAGACCTCAGTGGAAAATTTCATAAGTTTTTCATTTTTATAAAAGGGAAACAACTAGGAATATGAGTTAAGGATGGAGAATGAAAGCAAGTTTCACACAAATTTCTCCCACATAAGCTCTGGCAACCAATCTCAGGTCTGACCTCTAATGTCCTTGCTATTCTCGACTTTGGTGCCTCATGAGAGAAGACTACTGTCTTGCCAAATTGTGAAGTAGTTTGGTCATGTGGATCTGCTCTCTGAGGGGTGAGGATGAGACCACCCAAAGTCTGTTGACTTGCACTTTAATCCAAATTTTAAACAAAAAGAGCCGAAGCTGCATTCAAGTTAATAGTGTTAAAATTATATCCTGGCCTCCAACATATTAACTGTGAAACAGCATCAAGCACAAATTCTCCAGGCCCTGTGAGCTCAAATGCAAATTAATGATCACTGAACATACCCCTAACAAAACTTCACAGATGGCATAACCCCTTAACACTTCAGAGGGAAATGAAACAGAATGATTCCAAACTTATGTTGAAATCAGTAGGAAAATTTTAGTTATAAAACGATTCTATTGTGCACATGCAAATTTGGAAATACCCTGACTCTTTGCAAATGCTTGTAATCCTAAATCTGCAAAGTGGCCCTGAAAGTTACCCATAATCTGGCTCTGCTTTACAAATCTAACCTTCTTTGATTTCTCCTCCAACAGATGCCCTTAAAACCCTTCCCACCCCCTCAAATTTCTACCTCCATGATTTGCCAATTTTCCTCTTTCTCTCTACTTTTCCCTTATAGGTTTCTCTCTTCTCAGCTGTCTATCCAGTTCCTTGAAGGCCACAAAACTTTACCAACACAACTCAGTTGTCTATCCTTTTCCTCTATCTAGGAAATAATACATGAGAGGGGGACACTCAGAAAATAAAAAGTAAAGGGGAATTCTGATTAGGAGTCCCTAGACTAGGCTGCAGAAAAGTGAATGAGAGCAGTCAAGTGTTCCCCCTTAGACCAGCCTTGGCTGTACCCTAATCACATTAGGATCAGCATCTGTACGCTAAAAAGCTATTCTTCTTTTGCCTTCCCCCATCTTGGAGTGTTAGCAGCATCTCCTCCCTTTTATTTTCCTCATAATTTTTTTTTGAAAAAAATTGAAAAAAATCTCAAAAATCTCAATCATGTCTAGGGTAAACTAGAGGGAATTTATCTAATTCTTAAGGCAAAATAAGTTAGAACAAACTGCTCTCAGTTACTTGACTTGGTAGGAACACTGAATTAAGATGAAAAACTAGTGGAGGGCCTGTGAGCTGGAACAAAGGCTGGGGCTGGGGCTGGGACTGGGGCTGGGGCTGGAGGTGTGGTCAAGAGGGAGGAAAGAAGCAAGAACTCCCAGTTTCAACCTCCAGTCCTTTCCAACCTAGGGTTCTAAATTAGAACTTACCTGAAAAAACATACTTGAGTTAATGGTCTAAGGCTACAGTTCCCAACCCCTGGGCCATGGATGGAATACCAGGTCTTGTCCTGTTAGGAACTGGGCCTCACAGCAAGAGGTGAGTGGTGGGCCAGTGAGGGAATCTCCATCTGTATTTACAACTGGTCCCTATGGCTCACATCACTCACTGCCTGAACTCTGTCTTCCCCCTTCCCAGCCAGAAATTGTCTTCTGTGAAACTGGTCTCTGGTACCAAAAAGGTTGAGGACAACTGGTACAAGGTATTTTTAATTCTTTCAAAAAATATAGAAAATATAACAACATTTTGGATTTATCAAGGTACTATAATAAAAGAATCTCAGTTTCTTATTAGCATAACCTTAGAGCAATTCTTGAAGTACTTATTTTAAGCAATTGTATAATTTAACTGCTAATTTTGATTTTACCAATTTAGTTAATTAATATTTATCAAAGAGCTCATGTATACAAATAGCTGTGGTTCCTGCCATCAGGGTGTTTAATGTCTAAGAGAGTGACAGACACCAAGGGATCAAATTTAGATAGACAAATCAGGAAAGCCAAGATCCAGATTGGTTAGGTAGAACATAAAGGAATTCCATTTTTAGCAATATTGTGGACTACATATTATAAAATCATATCACTAAAAAATACATTAAAATGTTAAATGAAATATAAGAAACACTCTTCAAATGCATGGATGAGCTTACATGGAAGAAAGAGAAATCCTGGAACCAGGAACTAAAAGAGAAATTTTCATAGACTAATTAATTTTTGCCTTCATATATTTTGATTGTTTTTTCTCTACAATGCAAATTTCCAGTGCTGGGAACCAACGGACATATTCATTTTGCAATATAGCCTCTGACTTTTCACCTTTATTTGACAATGGCTGGGTGATATGGCACAGTGGCCAGTAAAGGTAATACTAGAAAACTTTTCTTTACCAAGATGGCCAGAAGTTACTTAACTATACATGGAAGTGACTGTGAACCACATAATATATTGCTCTAAAGATCCGCTGAACTTTACTAGGACTCCCAAAATGTTCATAGCCTTTCCCAAACTACCTAACATGAAAAGAATGTAAGTCAAAATGGAAAAAATAGAAAAAAGATAAAAGTTAAATCTGATTATAATTAAAATATTTCACTTTTGCAAATTTTATAAATCTTTTGAGGAGGTGAACACATTGCTGGGGTCCTCACAAGGCTTTGGAACATGCCTTTGTAAGTGAAAAACCGTGAAACTTAAGGTTCATTAGCTTCATGGCAAATCCTCCTCCTCTCTCTTTCTGTGTGAGCACATGTGTGCATTCTTAGAAGGGGAAAACTTGGCAATGTTTGTAGGCACAGTTTGAAGGGACAGAGGTAGGATCAAAGACATAAGAAAGAGAGGATCATAGGTAGAATAAGGGCTTTAAGGAAACAAAAGGGGAATGGAGCAAAAAAAGTATATACAAGTAAAGAGGTTAAGAATATAGAAGGATATAGGAAAATTTAAGTAGCAGAAGTAGAAGAAAAAAGAGCATTCACATTTGACAGACTCCTCTCAGTCCAATAGGAGACAAGAATAAGAAGGTAAGGATGTGTCCAGGCCTAGTACATAAGAGAATAGCATGAGCTTCAAACAGGTACCTTGAGGAAAGAGAAGGGATGCTGAGTAGGAATGAAAAGAATAAGGAAAAGAATCACATAGCTAAAAAGGTCTAGCAAAATCAGAAAATCACCCAGAATGCTACCAAGAATGAATGTGGAAATGAAGACAATTGGAAGATTGCTCTGAAGCTCAGCAGATGACCAAATTAAGAATGGAAGAAGACTATATCACCACTGAGAGTGAGGATCAAACAAGGAAGGGCTTTCAGAAGGGTCCAGCAGTGGCAATAAGGAGCAATGAGAACCTTGCCCCTGTTTCCAGAGTCTGAGGTGCTGAGACCATGAGAAAACAAGCAGTTTCTATCTCAGGATTCCAGTGCTACCATGGAAAATCAAGTTATTGTACAGACAAGGAATAAGGGACACTTTATAATAGCATATTTCGTTACCTTTGACCTATTAAAACGGCCAAACAATTTCTTTGCTCTCTGGATTAATTTATCCCTACCAGTATATTCAGGGTAACCAAAAGAAAGACAATCAAAGAAAAGGACAATTTACAAAATGCCAATGGAAAAGAATAACCAAAGCCATAGTGCAGAAAGAAGATCAAACCTAAATCAGAGTGGTCTCTGACTTGGGGTGTATTAAAACAAAGATCAACCTTTTCTAAACAAATGTTAAGCAACCAAAAGCAAAAAGATGAAAAACTTCTTTGTTCTTCATTCCCTCTGACCATGGAAAAATCACCAAAAATCCAACCTAATGGGACACACTATGCTTCCTCAATCCTAGGCAAGGCATTGAATTGTGTTAGGGGATGAGCATAGGGCAGGTATCAATGAGGTTGAATTGATAAGTAGGAAGCTTATCACTGCACAGGAGACATTAGGAAGCTATTTTTCAATCTTTCTGCCCTCGATGCCCCCTGAAATGACCAATGGGTTATCCTGTTTTCTTCCCTAGGCTTCAATTTGCAAAGTGAGGATTGATAAAAAAAAAAAAAAAAGTAGCAGTTATTCTCTGACAATCCCGTAGGACTTAATGCTATACCACCTTACACTGCTCCTCAGTGTTGCACATGTGTTTATACTCTCTTCCTAGTAAGAGAGTATAAGCACTTGGACTTCAAACTTCTCTTGTATTCACCATGGCAACTACTATTGTGCTAGGTACATATAGCAGAATAGGCTATGCTTAATAAATACTTATTGCCTTGAGAAAACTGTGGTGCTACAATTGATCTTAGAAATCATCAAGTCTAGACACTTAATTTATAAATGAAGAACCTGAACTATAGAATGGTCAAGCTGCTGGGCCACACTCACATGACAGATCAGGGAGAACCAGATCCATCACTTGATCTGTCAGGAATTAGTAAGAGACTGAAGTGAGAACAACTGGTATATGTTCTAAGAGGTATTCTGGGCATATAGAAACAAAGTCACACAAAAAAGCTTCAAGTATAAGCTAAAACATATCAACAATCTGTAAGTCTTTTGGGGGGAGCATTCCCTCTGCAACATAACCTACTATTCAACAGCTTTTGAATTACCATTGTGACAAACATGAGCTGTCACATGAGCTGTCCTTGGTGGCTATACCGAATAGCTCACAGTAAATCTTAATCATCCTTTAAGAGTCTTGGAACGTAACAGAAGGAAAACTCAGAGAATCAGGCATCTCACTGATATGAAGAAGCAAATAGTTCTTCCCAGAAGTGATCAGAGAAAGAGATCAAAGGAAAAGCTTTGGTGAAAGCGGGAAAAGGTTTCTATTTCTCAACACTGAAAAAAAGTAGTCTGGAAGCACCACAGTGAGTTCTAAGAACTGCCTGAAGTCCAGTGTGGCTAAACGTTGGGTAAGAAAGGGGGGAAGGTAGGGACTGGACATGGGGCTGGAGGGCTGTAGGTAGAGTTGGTGAAGGGCCTTCGGCCCTGTGCAGAAAAGTGGAGTAATCCCACTGATGAAGGATCATGCTGTTAGTGATGAGGACAGACTGGAAGGAGGTGAGGCATGACCATCTAACTTGTTTCCCTCATGATATCTACAAAGAGCTCCTCATTTCCTTGGTGGCCTCACTCTTCATGGGCTTTGGAGTCCTCTTCCGGCTGCCCGTGGTGGGCATCTATATGTGATCTCCAAAGGGGAACAATTAGTTAGCTTCACTGGGTCCTTACTTTTGAAAATTAATTATTTTACTATTACTGGAAGCATGCCACCTACTATTCACAATAAAGACAGATATGTGACCTAAAAAAAAAAAAAAAAAAAAAACAAAAAGATTTTGAGCCACTTTTGCTTTAATTGGTCTCCCTCCCTCCTTTTTTTCTTGATTTCTTGCTTGCTTGCTTTGTTTTCAAATCTGGAAATATACTGAGTACCTATTATAAGTAAGGTACTTCATTAAACGTCAAGAATTTAAGAAAAATAGGATGTGGGCAGTCCCTGCCCTAAGGGAGTTCATAGTCTAGAAGGGGAGACAAACACATATATTAGGCACAGAGTGATCACTTTATAATAAGGCTATAAGAATGGTGCTGTGAAAACCAGAAAGGAGTTGGTGCTTATATTTGGTCACATTCACTCTACATACCAACACAGAATTGATTATCTATCTATCATCTATCAATTTTTTCTTTTTCTGAGATAAGGTCTTGCTGTGTTACCCAGGCCAGAGTAAAGTGGCACGATCATAGCTCATGGCAGCCTTGAATTCTTGGGCTTAAGCAATCCTTTCGCTTCAGCCTCCCAAGTAACTAGGATTATAGGCACGTGCCACCATACCTGGATAATTTTTCTTATTTCTTGTAGGGACAGAGTCTTGCTATATTGCCCAGGCTGCTCTCAAACTCCTATCCTCAAACAATCCTCCTGCCTGGACCCCGCAAGGTGCTGAGATTACAGGATCATCCCACTTACCTATCTATTTTAATGGAAAAAACTTGATGTATAATAAAACACAAAACAGACCAGGGGACCCAAGAAGCATATGCTGGTAGAGAGCATTACAGGGTGGGCAGGAGACAGAAGAGGTCAGCTAGGGCAGCTGCAGAATCAAACATTGTACAAGGATCTCACTTCTTATCATTCCTTTAATACAGTTTCTCTGGAGAGAGAAATAAGAGTGTCAGAAAGGAGATACGTAGAAATTGTTCTGATACCCACAGGAGCACAGATTATTCTCTGTGGAAAAATTTGATAACAATAAAAGACTACCCAAAAGTATCAATTGACAAGAGTAATGATAAATCCTAAACAAGGACATAAAAAAACCCATCGTGGAATTAATTCATCAAAAGAGGGACATTTCTTTTTTTTTTTTTTTTTAATTTCAGCATATTACAGGGGTACAACTGTTTAGGTTACATATATTGCCTTTGCCCCACCACAACACGTACTCACCATCAAATTGGTAAACAGGGACATTTCTAAAAGAGTGAAAGATGGCAATATTACAAATAATTTGTAGGTATTGGACTATAATCTTTTTTTTTTTTTCTTTTGTAGTTGGACAAAGTCATAGAAAAACATAAAGAATCTCACAGACGAATTCTGGAACAGCTTTTAATGGCAGAAAAATCTCATAGGCAAACCATATTGGAGTTGGAGGAAGAAAAGAGAAAACATAAAGAATACATGGAGAAGAGTGATGAATTCACAAGTTTACTAGAACAGGAATGTGAAAGGTAAGGCTGCTTTGTGTTAAACAATGGCCCATTCTGCAACCTATTACTAACCTCTCACTATGGGCTGGGCACTGTCCCAGGTGTCAGGGATACAAGAATGAATAGGACACAGCCTCTGTTCTCAAAGATCCCAAGGTCTTTGAGGTGAGGAAAAGGATATGTTTAAAGATGTTATCAATACAATGCAAGAATAACTAACTGGGTGTGATAAGGACTATTGAAACATAAACATTGGGCAAAACCCTGTGAGAGCTGCACAGAAGAGGCAACAGTGGTCTAGTCCACAGGCAAGCAAGGATGCAAACTACATTCAAGGCAAGGGGAGAAATAAGCAGAAGAGTATAGAGGTGAGAAAAGAATGTGGGTGCTGAGGGAACTCAAGCTTTCAATGTGGCTACAGCACAGGGTGTTATTGCAGGATGAGAAAAGGAAAGGCTTGCCATGAGCAGCTGGACTTTATACCATTGCCAAGAGGAGAAAACGAAAATTGTGAAAGGGAGAATGAGATGATTAGCTATGCTTTCTTAAAGAACCACTGAGGCAATATGGAGAAAAGACTGGAGGAGCTTTAGACTGGGGGCAGGAAACTCATGTAGGAGGTAAATACTCAGATGAGAGAGATGAGGGGATGTGTTCCAGTGGCCATGGGGTCAGAGAGGGGAGGTGTAAGCAGGAACAATTTACGATGTAGTTAATATGAATTGGAGACTGGTGAGATTGGAGAACAGAGCAAGGGAAATAAGAAGTTATGGAGAATCACTCTTGGTTATTCACCAAAATATGGAGTATGGGAATGAGGCATACTTCTTGTTGCTGTAGAATTTTGATTGGGAAGGATTGTTTACAACTGGAGGGTAGATAGGAGATGAGTCTTGTTTTAGACATGTTGAGTAAGAGGTACCTTGGTGTATTCCAATATTCAGTGAGAAGAATGATACATATAAAGACAACCCACAATCAGCAATACAGGTCTGGAAAAGGATGGGCTGGTGATGTGGATTTGCAAAGGGCAACAGCCAAAGCTATGGGTGTTGATGTGGTGAGGAGAGAGAATGCTGAGAAGGGAACCCTAGAATACATCAATGCTTGGTGGTTTTCCAGAGAAAAAGGAGTCAAAAAAGGAAGATGAAAAAGGATCGTGAAAGGTTAGAAGAACCAAAAGAGAAAGAAGGCAATGAAATGAAATAAAAAAAGATTTTCAAAAAAGAGTGAACAGTCAAACAGTACCAAATAATGAAGAATGGAATGAGAAATGTCCCAGGATTTGGCAATGAGGAAGATCCTGGGGAACTTAATGAGCCATTTTAAGAAAGCAGTAAGGGCAAAAGCCAAATTGCAATGTTTTGAAGAATAAATAAGAAATAATAGTGTAAAAGCTTAAAATGTGAACTTGTATTTTGAGAAGCTTGGCTGCAAAAATAGGAGACTTTGTTTGGTAAATATTTTATAATCATATGTAAGATAGGTTATTTTGTTTCACTTTGATCCTCTATTCTGAATCACCTTAGAAAGAATAAACATCTATGTTAAATTGAAAGGACAATCAACTCTTTCTGCTGATACTGAAAAGATAGAAAATAAGCAATGTTTGCAATGTCAAATTTTTACCTGGTATTTATCTCACTTTTGTTATTTCCCTGTGTACTTTTATGAGTTAAAGAGCTAATGATGCTAGATTCTAATAATCACAGAAAAATGTAAAAAAAAATAATTACCTGTGAGTTCCCCCTTCCCAAATACTGGTAATCTCAACTGCTTTATTCAACTACTTCTAATTCTTATTTTAAATTTTTTCATTTCATTTCATTTTTTAGATCCTGAACACTAAGATGGAACCAATTCATATTTTATCTAGGTAACCTAACTGAAGTTACCCCTAGCTAATGGCAAACTTTTTTTCTTTTTAGTGTACTTCATGGTAGACACTTGTTCAGGGTGCTAGTGAATCCATGGCCCTCACATCCTATCTATTTTTTCTAGGAGGATTATTTTTTACTACATGGTGGCAGGGGTGGGAGCTAGGGTGGGGGATGGGGAGAGGTCTTGTTAACTTGCCCCTCATGAACTCTGAAATATCTACAGGAGCAGATTAAAGGAACACAAAAAATCTGGCACCAAGGAAAGATTTGACTCAGACATTACAATACAATATGTGTTATTCAATGAGACAATGTTATATTAAATATTATTTTGAACCCCTGTGGTTTGGCCCTGTGGTGGCCTCATTTGGCCTCCATACGTATTTGGCACTAACCTGCTGAACACAGACAGTTTCTTTCATCTTTCATTATTCTGAACATTTACTGACCACGTTCGGAGTGCTGCTTGCCGTAGAACAAAGAGGTACAGGCTATCCTTGCCTAGGGGGCTTACCACATTAATGGAGAAGGCAAGGTGACACAGACTTAGGGTGGGAATGTGAAGGGCTGTTGGGGGATGGCCCCAACATGAGATGTTCTAATATTCACCATGTATCTCTACTATCTTCTGGAGGAAGGCTGGGGAAGGTGATCCAGAAGTAACACTGTAATGCTCAGAGGCAGATGGGGAAGAATATTTAAACCAAGAGAGTAAGGAGGAACAACACTTGAAATGGGAACAAAAGATCAGTGGGAATAAAGGCTATGGGCTGGAGAAAAAGAAAAACAGTGGGATAAATGGACACTGCACACCCTGCAAATGATATATGAAGAATAGTATTTCTACATGTATCAAATGAATTTAAGAGGAAGAATTTAAGAGATTATACTTTTTTAGCTTCACAGGATACTAAGCTTTTTGTCTTGAAGAATAATTAAACTGAACATAGTATTACCAAGAGATAGAAAAAAGTGACTAAAGAGTATCTCTCATTCCCTCTTTAGCCATTCCAGAAGCGAGGAGAATATTTACCTATTGCTTTTTGCCTAAGAACAGCTTCCAGATAGATTTTTTTTTTTTTTTGGTGTGAGAATCTTAAACCTATTCTCAACTCATATGAGGCACAGATTATTTTCCCCTTGCTTTGCCTGTATCATAACACAATTTGGTACTGTCAGGACATTAGCCTTCACCCTCCTGCTTCCCTGCCTTCTGCTGGGAGACTACAGGTCTCATGAGGCATAACTGCTTTCAGGTCAAGTGCATCAAATAATAGTAAATGAACAGCATCTAACAAAACGAGAAGTGAGGGAAACTCTAATGACTTCAGGTAAATACACTGAGAAGAGCTGCTTACACACAAGAGTGTGAAAAACCAGTAATGTGTCTCATTTTTAAACAAAACACACACTGAGTCCTTCAATCTTTAGTGAGAGTACTTTCTCTCAAGCACACAGCCACAGCTCACAAAAGACTAATCCTAAAGGGTCAAAAAACAATGTTTACTTCCTTCCTCAAACAAAATGATGTAAACCACTCCCAAATTAGTGACCTTCAGTACAATACAGTGAAACAAAGATATCATAACCTCCATAAACTGGGGGCTGGGTGAGGATAGCTACAAAGGACTATCTGACTGAAACTCTGAAAAAACACTGTGAAGGTTTAGCACTCATATTTTAAGTGTTGGTTAATATCTACTTGGAAATAAAACAAAAATTAAGAAATACATGATTGAGGTAATTAATGAGACCTTAGAGGATATAATAATGGATTTCAAATTAAGGCACAATTTCTGTGTTTTCTTTGGAGCATTCATTTTATGTGGAAAACCCTAAAGGAGACTGATGTCACGCATTGAGTTCAGGCCAAAATGTTTGCCAAATGATGTCGCTGTCGTAATCAGTAAGCAATTGGCTTTCCCACTGAGTGCGGGTGGGGGTAGGGATCAGCTCAGGAAAGCCTGTTCCCAAGCATGTTAATGCAAAGTTTCCTTAGCTATATAACCTGTGTGGTTTGGTCTGTATATGGCAATATTATATCCACATCTCATGACAACTTTCTGTTCACTGACCAGCTCCAAAGTGTGGATATGTGTCACCGATGACCTGAATTATGTACTTGGCTGAATTACAAGTGCAGTCTATGTGAAAGGTTTTACACAAAAGCAATGCCAGTAATTTTTGGCCTTTCTAGATGGCCTCACAGGAAAGCCAAAACAAAAATCACTTTTAGTCAGTGTAATTTTGCAAAATTTTCCCATAAGTGAAATGCCAATTTTGTCTGACTTTCAAAAACCTTGCATATTTTTTTTCCTTTTCAGTTTCAATGGAGAAAAGGGCTGTGAAACAAAACAAACAAACAAAAAAAGCATTCTTTTTAGACTACTAAAACAAACCATGTATACTAACCATACATATTACTGAATTTTTGGCCTTGAAATACCACTAAAGCAGGAAACAGAACTGTTATAGCAATTCTCTTTCTAAAAATGTGGCTTCAACCATGGATTTTTTTAAAAGCCTTAAATTACTTTTTATAATCTCTTGGCCAAGTAGGTTAGCATGATATTCCAATTTTATAAATCAGGAGGTCAAATGGTAGCTTCTCAAAAGCTACATAGTGAGAAAGGAGTCACAAGTAGAATTAGTTTCTTGTTCCTGTCCTGTCCAGGTTTGACCAGTTAAGAACAGTGGTGGAGGGGACATAGGAACCTCTGGAGGGATGTCACCTGGGGTCTAACTTCAAGAGTTGTTGCTTTGACCACACCCTGAGCAAGTTCTTCCTTTTAGGTATTTTAGACAAAAACAAAATACTTCCACTTCTCCCTTTGGCTGAAACAACTTTATAAGCAGAGATTTCTGTCATGGATCCTTCTCTACTATGACAGGCCTATTTTCCAGACTGGCATCAGACACTGCTTCAGCCATATTTGATCCCACTGTTAACTAAGTAGGCTTCTTTCAAAGATTTCTCTCAAAAACATCAAATCTTCTTTCTAGAGGCTTTGGATACTCCTTTGAAATACATAAATTAATGAGTATGTTAATTTATCTAGTATTTTAGTTTAACTAGTTTGCTAGCTTGTGCTGCTTGCCATTCATTAATTTTTTTTAAAAGATAACCAATTAATTAAATGT